GAACTGCAGTAAAGTGGAACAATTTTCAGCTTGTGTGATTGGAGGATATCTGGATGCATATTATAAGACTGTCCTACATAAATGAGGAAAAGTTGAGGTGCCTTTATTATTCTTTTGTTCCACTCTTTCTTTCTATGGGGAATTTGCCAATGCAATATCACTGTCTTCCTTTTAAACAAACAAACAAAAAAAAAGGCAATGGCTGTTGAAAATAGCAATTCCAGTCCTAATAACCACTGGGAAGCATTTCTTGCTCAATTTTATCCTACTTTTTCTAAAGCAAGTTACAGTGGATCAGTACATTTGATTTGGGAGAAATGAAGTAACAGCCGCCCAAACTGAGCTTGAGCACTCCTGAATTTTGAGGTGTTCAAATCTGGAAGGCAGGTGCTGGGGGTGGGGGGGCTGTGGCTCCGCAGGGGAGCATGGCAGCATGTATGCAGCAGCGTGTCTGGCGCTGCGCGAAGCCAGACACGCTGGCCTGAGTGGCACGGTAAGGGAGTTGGGGGGTTGGAGAAGGGGTAGGGAGTTCCGGGGGGGCAGTCAGGGGCAGGGAGAAGGGGGGGTTAGATGGGTCAGGGGTTTGGGGGGGGCAGTCGGGGGACAGGCAGCAGTTGGTTCTCAGCTCCCAGGCTGGATCCCTGCCGCCCCTGTAAATGGGCTGCCCCAAGCACGTGCTTGCTTTGCTGGTGCCTAGAGCCGCCCCTGACACCAGGGAGTCCAGATCCCTTTGAAGATTTCACCCCACATCTCTGGTTCCTTCTAACTTGGGCTATTCCCCCACTCCCAGTGAGCCACAAGGTGGTGCTGCAAGCCCAGTTTTGTTTGGCGGCAACCAGCATTCCGGACCTGCTTGTCTCTCTGTCTCATTCCGAGAAATAGATCGGTTTTTCACTCATTTATTTGAAAGTGAAGGGCCTGATCCTGCCCTCGTTGCAGTCACTGGGAGGTTTGCCGTCGACTTCAATGATAGCAGGATCGTCCCTTAAAAAACAGCAGCTGATTCTGCCACAGCACAAGATATGCATTGTCCTGCGTAGTCTGATGCGTGTAGCCCTGTGGAGGTGGCACACGCATCATACAGCCCCTCACTCCAGAGCTGAGCCCACCAACTATTGGGGCATTAGAGCTTGGGGCCAATGAGGGTGGGGATAGGTTACTGCTACACCCCTAGGCCCTGATTCTGCAGTCTGGACCCCTGCACTGAGCTCCAGTGTGGGGCCGCATGAATCCGACTGCAGGAGCAAGGCCTGACTTTTAAGCCCTGCAGCTAGAGAGCACCACATTTGCTTAAACTGGCCCTGTCCATTCTTCCTTCCTGACTGCAGCTGTTGTGCAGTGCTTTGGTTTAAAGTGACAGAGTACAAAGGTTATAATTTTAGGGCTAGATTATTGTGCCTTTAGTCACAACCCCTGAGCGAGGAATGGTGCATAAGCTGCCGTAGCAGGGGTGGGGAGGGTCTGTTGCTCAGACTCCTCTCTCTGATTGCCCCTTGCTCCAGTAACAATGTTGCTGGCTTATACCAGGGACAAATTAGGACAGGCACTGAGTGGCCAGCAAGCAGGGGGGGCTGAAGCCAAGACTCCACTCATTCTCCACCCCATCCTGCTGAGGAGGGACCGTGCATGCCCAGTACCTGCTTACCCCTCTGCAGTCGGACCCCAGTTCCAGGAAGCCAGTGCAAAGCATGGGGGGAGTTCTCACTCCCCTGTCCTGCAGAGGTGTGTAGTTCAAGCCCTCCTCCTGATTTGGCACCAGCAGCGGGGGAAGATGAGATTGTCCTTGCTTTGCTTACTTTAATGGAGTGAATACATTGAGCAGTTCAGTAGTGGAGTACGGCTGGGACCGCTGGCGCTGATCCCAGCTGGAGCACAGAGGTGTGGGTCAGACAGACGTGACCCCGACAGCGCACGTGGCCATTGGAAAAGATTCCCGGTCACACAAATGGGAAGACATGAGCTGCTCAGTGCCAGTTGCACAACCGTGATCTTGTGCTGGTAAGAGGCCCCAGCCCCTGCTTGTTTATCATCAGGGGAAAGTGCCTCTAGTGGAACAGCCCCATTCACCTGCATCAGGCAAGCCTGGCATTGTTGCAGGGCCCTGTTCTCTTTTGTCTGGTTCTTTGTCTCTCCCCCGCTTGGCAGAATACCACAGGGCATGAACCCCGACAGCACAGTCTGACCTACACTGCTTTGCCCTACACCTCAGAAGAAATTCTCCTGAGCATATCACAGAACTCTACAGAGAGGCGTTAGGTCCCACAGCACCAATAAGTGTAATTACCTCCCTTGAACAAATGGGGAAACTGAGGCCAGCGCCACAACATGGGTCACAACATAAGTCAGTGGCAAAGTGAGGACTAGAGCACAGGGCTCTTGGTCTAACAACCTCCTTCCCCCGCCTCTGACCTCTAGACCAGGAGAGCAGAGTAGAAGCAATGGGTTACCAACTGCTATATAGCACTGCACAGCTAATGGCAGAGTTGTGTAACGTCGTCACTTCCCCGTTGCCAGGTGGTAGAAAAAGTTTCACATTGAGAGGCCTATGAGGGCTGGGTAACATTTCTGCATCCACAACCCCTCTAGATTTTTCCATTCATTCCCCTGAAAGCAAGCCCTGACTTTTAATCCCTGCCAGCTGGCAAACCCCTCGGGCATTCCCATGACACAAAGAGTGAACACAAACCCACGGATCTCCTGCCACAGTGCTTCCCTGAGGAAGGGAAATATCTGAGGAAGAGAGACATGTTGCTGCAGCTGCAGGGGGGCTGGCAGGCCATGAGGTCCTTCCCTGCCCCCCACCCGACAGGTTGAAACACCTGTGTGATTGCTCCTGCTCACACTCCAATGGTGCGTAGTGTGGATTGCGAGTCACATGGAGCCCACACAGCTTGGAGGTGGTGCTGAGCTTCCTGGGGAAGTGGGGTGTCACCCTGGCTGGGGGCACATCCCCTTATCCTCCTGACTCTCCTCCCACTTGTAAAGCTAGATGGAAACCTTACAATGAAGAAACCAATCTAGGGAGATTGTGTTGATTCATTGCAGTTCATGTGACTTATCTGAACATCTTCAAGCACAACCACCTTGGGGATGTCAGGGCGGGGGAAGTGTCATGTGTCAGGATGGTATCATCAAAGGCTCCTAAGCGAGTTGGGGGCCCAGCTTAAGGGGATCTAGGCCTCTTTGAACACCCAATCCTAAATGCACATTTCCTTGTTAATTTCAGGCGCGCAAAAAAAGGGAGACTGGCTTCCGCAGGCAGATTCCTCTGCCCTATCAGAAAAATCACCAGTTTGCACATAATGGCTTTTGGTAATTACACATTAATTTGCCTGCTCGGAACAAGGAAGGAGCCGTGGGGTGAACTGCTGGTCAGAGGAGAACAGAGTTTGCAGGAACATTTGATCTTGTTCTCCCTGTGCCACTGTCTGGCTCCTGAGCCAGATTTTGTGCTCTCGGTCACAGCAGAGTAAAGGCAGAAAAACTTCACTGAGATAAATGGAGTGATTCTGTACCTGGGAGCAGAATGAGGCTCACTAAGCCCAGAATGTGGCTAAACATGTGTGTTCACAGAAAACAACATATTGGGCCCAATTCTCAACTCACACTAGTTTGCTGTAACTCCATTGTCTTCAGCTGAGTTATCCCAGCTTCCACTGGTGTCAGGAAGAAGGGAATCAACTCCATTGGTTTTGTAACTATGCATTCAGCACCCACCCGCTCCTGCACCCCTTATTCCTGGGAGCAGTCCCGCTGAAACCTTAGAGCCTCCTCCTGCAAATAAAGGCTGTGAGACCCAGCCCCCTAGGGTTGAATTCTCAAAGCCAATCTCTGATGCCCCCTTGCAGGTTTGGGATTCACTCTGAGTCCAATCCTGCAAGAGCTAATGGGTGGATTATGCCCGATCCTGTCCTATTGAAGCCAGTGGGATTACTGCATGTTTGGCAGCATGCATGATCATGGCCCGAGCATCCACACACCTACTTGAAGTCCAGGGGAGTGAAGGGCTCCAGTAGAAGAGAAGGGAAGCTAAAGCATTAGAACACTAATGGTAAGATCTCTAAAGGTGCCTAGGGAACATTGGTTTTTATGGATATAGGGCTTGAGCTGGGCAGAAAATGGGGCCCCCGACCTGTGAGTATTTGAGAATTTGAAAATTTTCCCATCCCGAATGAGAACAAAGTTGAAATCTCAAAAATGTTCATGAAGCGACAAAGTGGGGGGAAATGGTTCAGGTCAATTGCAGCCTTCCAAGATGTTTCATTTTGATTTTAAACCTGTTTTTAGTATAAATTTACCCCAATTTCAAAACAAAAAAAGCAATTTCAAGTCAAAACACCAGAACTTTTGTTTTGAAAGTGTCAAAATGGGATGTTTTGATAACTTTGAAATTAAAAAATAATTGAGTTGAAATGGACACTGTTTTGTGAACAGTTTCAATTTTGACAAATTGGCATTTTCCTGGGAAAAAACGTTTTGTTGAAAAATTCCTGACCAGCTCTTTATTGGGTACCCAGATCACATAGATTCCTTTAAAAATCTTAGCCTCTAAGCAGATTTTCCATTTTCTATTTATTCAGTGCTAGGGATTTTCTAGACATCCATTCCCAGACACTTCGTTTTCCGTGCCTCCATTTCAACATCTTGCCTTTTCCCTTCAGATTTCTTCATTTATCACTGCCACAGAGATTCAGCAAGGCTGTCTTGTAATCACCACTCGTGTCCTCCTGACAGAGGGAAGAACAAGAATAGAATGGAACGTGGAGGACCATGCTAGCATTCTAGCTCCATAGGATAAACTCACATCTGACAAGGGCTTTGAGAAAGACAGACTCCATTGACTTCAATGGATTTATTCCTGATTTACACCCCATTGTAAGTGAGAGGAGAAACAGGCCTAATAGGTTTTCCCCTCAGTGTAATATATTGAGCCCAATTCTCCTGGTTTGCAACCAATCAGGACGAACTCCACTAAGTCAATGGAGTAACTCAGGAGTAAAAAATCATGTAAATGAAAAGTAGACTCAAGCCCGTTGTACTCAAGGTTCAAACTGCCTGAGCATTTACACACCATTCTCCCCACTCACTGGCAGAGAAAGGGTGGAGCACTTAGTTGTGAAGCATCAAATTTGTATCATCGCCACTGCAAATCCCAAAGGGGCATAGAGCATTGCTGCTTACAGATCAAGGGCCTACAGAGCATCCTTAAAATGGTCTGACTGGCTGCTCAATCTACATCCATCACTGATTATCACATTGCACCACCGAGGTTTTAGTGCCCCCGTGATCGCTGGCAGCGTAGAATTCTTCCTTGGTCAATGTGCTTCGTAAGTCAAGTTTTTAGGAAACAGACAAATCTCTCAGTCTCTGTCGAGGGGAGTGTTAACGAGAGAGTGATGAGATGCTCATTTCATCCTCTCTGGGTATTTTGGGGGACCTACTGCAACGTCTCAGCAGGAATTATTATTCAGTCAGGACTCTCGACGACCGATCATTAATCAACATGACAGATACTGACAATGTAGATTAGAAGAAGGGACCTTAATTACAGAAAGATTTCCCAGGGGACTGCTCGTGGGGGCCTCTGTGCTATTTGCACAGGGGAAGGGAACAAACCATAATGATAGAATGGGAGAATGCTGGGATTTCAACCCCATTGTAGAATGGGGCTTTTTACTAGGGATGAGCAACCAGCTTGGAAACCAAAAGAATCCAACTCCAAAGCATTTGGTGGGTGGATGGGGGGTTGGAAAATGTTCAGTTTCTAGACCTGTCACACACAGTATATGGGCCAGATCCCCGGTTAGTGTAAATCACCATAGCCATTTTTCCTACAGTCCACCCAGAAGGCCTCTGGACAATGCAAGGGTCTCTCCTCCAGCCCAAAGAACGCTCTAGAGTGGAAAGGAAACAGGCAGGGACCAGCATCTGGTGTTTATTGTTTTATATGATCTGTGCCCTCTTGTGCTTTACATGATTAAGGAGAAGAGCGTCAATGCATTAGACTCTGTGCAAAGTGTGCGTTCACAGCTGCTGCGTGCCCTTGAGTGAGTTAAGCCAAACACCTTTGGGGTGGCGTTCTGGGACAGGGCGTGTTTAAACACATCGGAGTCTGAAGAGTCACCGTTGTGCCCAGGGGCGAGGAACGGGACAGCCGGTTCCAGCTCCCCACAGGAGGTGCCAGAGAGAGGATCTGTGTTCCGAGAGTGTGCCTAGGGAACCCAGCATTGGGGCAATGGTTGGACTCTGTTTAGGCTCCAGGGTCTTAAAAGTCTGGGCAATTCAGAACCTGGAATTCCCTTTGCTGCAGCCCTAGGGAGCGGCTGGACGGGGCGCTCGCTAGGATCTATGACAGAGCGACACGGCTGTAATCCCCCTGGAGGAGTTGGTCCAAGAGATTTCCATGCCCCTTGGCTCTGCATGGGAGAAGACAGGCAGAAAGCTCTGCCTGCAACATTTCTGACCAATCCAAACAGGGCCACGGTCCTCTGCAAAACCCCGCCCTTGGCGCCATCCCCTGGCTGCAAAACCCCAGAGATTAAATGGGTGACTGTTTTGCCCCTGCTGGCTCCAAACTGCTCTGCTAGGCCAGCTGGTGGTGTTCAGCTTGACAGAGGAACTAGGGCAGAATGGGCAATGTGTGCTGAACCACATAGGGGCTGGGAAGGGAGCTAGGACAGAGGACAGCAGCTGCGTTCAACCAGAGTGCTTCAGCTGGCTGAGCTCAAAGCATGTGGGAGCAGAGCTTGCTTGGTGCAGAGCCTATGGCAGTAGAGCCAGCTTCCATCAGCAACTAGTCTGAGCACAAGTCCTATCACCTGCAGGTCACATTCCATGACTCACCTGCTCAGGCAGGTGTTTCCCTAATGGACGAGGAGGGATCCCCAATTCCCTCTGAAATTTGACGCTTTTCGGAGGACTTATGGAGGGGAGAGTCACAATCTTACTGGGGGGTAGTCCTTCACCCAGAACACTTATGACAGCACCCAGACACCATGGTGATGGACGTACCAGAAAGGCATGTCAGTGATTCATAACAACAACAAAACTGCTGCTTACCAGAATCATGGTGGAGAGGGATTTGCCTGCGATCTTTAGGAACTCAGCCTTGATGAGATTTAAGTCAATTTCACACCTGGAAACGATGACCCTTATGAGGGTCCCATCACAAGTGCCTGCCCCCTGCAATGACACATTTATCACTTTGGCAGTGCCACTAGGTATTAGTATGATCTCATTTTCTCTCTTTTTGGGGATGGGGGTGGGGAGAAGAGAAGGCAGATTTAGTGTTTGCAAGTTGGTCCAAGATGGAAGAGACCAGGTTTCAGATGCTGCTGGGAATGAATTTAGCACATCTCTGCCTCTCACCCTGGTGGCCCACTATTCATGTCACAAAGCCCATCCTGCAGTTTGGTGTGACTGCCAATCTTTGTGCATGAAAAATTCAGGATCCAAAGACCTGCAGGGTTGCAAGCATGAACGGAGGTTTATTGGTGCATACAGCACAGCTAAGCATGGTAGCTTTACAGAGCATCTGCCCAGGGCTCCAGCCAATCTGTTTAGTCCTTTACCCTTATGAAGATGAGGGTAGCAAAAAACTTGGGGGAAGCCTCTCTCATTTGTAGTCTTCCACTGAGGGGGACTGCATAGGCCCCACATTTCTTTGTTACATCTATGATCAGTGGGCTAAAGAGCCCCATTAGCACTGACACATTCAGCCTCAAAGGCTTCAGGGATTTTCATGTACTTCCCCCTAGACTTTTTTTGTTTGTTTTAATGTCACTGAGAAAAATGCATCCTAAAAACCAGCAAACTTATTGGTACCAGAACAATTTAACCACCACTAGGGGCAAAACCCAGCCCGAATTTATACCGAGTGCAAATCTGATGACCTCCGTGGGGGTTGCACTTATGCAGCTGAGGGCAGAACTGGACTCCTTGTGCCAGTCTCAACTCCACAGAAGCAAGTTCCTTCAGGACTTCAACCCTACATGTCCCTCTTCTTCCAAAGGGGCCAGGCCTGACTCTGCTCTCATTTGCACCAGTTTTACCCCACTGCCCCTTCAGTGCTTCAGACTGAAGCGAGAGGAGAAGCAGGCCCGCTCTGAACAGCCTGTGCTATAACAGTCTTACCTTCAAGGCATGGTACAGCCGCTCTGCAAAGTAACTGTGGATGTTCCTCGTGCATTTCACTAGACACAGGAGAACGTTCAGTTAGTGTTCAGGATCAGTCTAACCCAGGAACAGCAAATGATAGTAATTCAACTCACAATCGCCTTCTCTAAACCGTCCTATGGGATCATGGCAGCTAAGAAGTGCCCCGGTATTATGGGATGGATGTGCTTAGCCCACTACTGCAGTAGAAGAGAAGCGTAGACAAGAGTAAGGGTGTCCTGTGTCCCTTACCAATAGCCAGCATGGCGTCTTCTAGCGAGCCGTGGGTTTCACTTTGGATGCTGTCTTCTAGGCTTTTACTGGCGAGCTTCTGGTATTCATCAAAGACTGTGGGAAACAACAAACGAAGGACTTTTGAATCCAAGCCAAACAATTCTTCAGGCATTTTGTGCCTTCTTTCCACTGGTTGTGCTTCTGAGGGGCCTGACCCAAAGCCCATAGAAGTGAATGGCCTGATTCCCATTGACTTCTGTGACTTTAGATCAGGTTCAAAAATGCTGGCACCACATAAACCCAAGTAAGTATCCGCATGTGCATATGATGGGTAAGAATGCATGAAGATGGGCACTGGTATACGTAATTACTGGCTTGCATTTGGAAATACAGGTTTGCTCATTGCATGTTCATTTGGAAATCTGGCCCTTAATCCCTATCTTTGGCTATTGATCTAAATCAGGTTCCAGAGGGATATGCATGGCTCTAGCATTCAGTTTTGTGTTTGCTGCTGTCACTGGCTCAGGGAGCCGAAGGAACACTGAACTAACACAGGATCTGGGTTGCTCGTGGATGGGGAAAAACACCAGGGGAAGCTCGGAACTTGTTGTTTTCCTCCAAGCAAAAAGAAACAAACCACTAAGTGAGAAAACCATAAGCAAAAATACAGAGGTAAATTCCAAGATCTTTGGGTTTACTCAGATTCCTGCAGAAAGTTCATGTTCAACTACAGCAGTGAAGATTTGTTTTCTCTCTATGTAGAATGTAGACACTGCAGGTGCGGAATTATTAAGCCTCAAGTTTGACTTCTAGACCTGCATACAGAGCTAGTCATTAATGAAGAGCTGTGTATTAGGGAAGTCATGGAATCTCCTTCACTGGGGGTTTTCAAAACAAGGCTGGATAGCCATCTGTCTTGGATGGTTGAGACGCAACAAATCCTGCATCTTGGCAGGGATTAGACTAGATGACCCTTACAGTCCCTTCTAACCCTATGGTTCTATGTAACACAGTGAGCTTCAGATTTAAACCTCAGCAGCGTTCAAGCTTATCTCCTCTAACCTCAGTGCTTAGATACTACAGTGAAAGACACTAACAGATTGGAAATGACCTTCTCAGCTCAGGCCTATATCAGAAATAAGTTGAGCTGGAACAGAGTTGAAATAAACTGAATTTTAAATGGATACCATTACTCAGCTCTCAGAGAAGTAGGGGGAAATCAGGGAAAAGCTGCTTCTTGCAAAAGGCCAAATCAAACCCATATTGTTTTTACTGTGACATTAATACTTATATGAATGATTGATAGAGGTTTAATGTTCTTTAATATGACCTTAAAAAGTAATATAAGTGCAATGTGTGCATGTGAATCATGATGCATTTAATTAGGTGAGTGGATCTCAAACTATTTTCCATCCAGCCCTTCTTTGATCAACGATTTGATTTTTTTTTAAACTCCTGATTTTTGGGGGTCTGCCTCATGATTTTTGATCTCTCAAGGTCAGCAATACTGAACGGATGCTGTGAGGTTATAACTGGAAATGTAAGAGGGAGTTGGCCTCAGATTCCTAGCAAGAGGCCACAGAAGCCAAGTTCAGGTTCACCTGCTGTAGGCACATGGTCCAACTTTGCACCGGGTGACTGGCCTATTATGAACCTGGGCACAACAGCCAATGTAACAAAGCCTGTTTGGCTGAACAGTCTGTGGTCACTGGCAGCTCTACACTGCTCAGGGGACGGTCTGAAGTCTTACTTCCCTCTGTCACTCATACCTATCATGTTCTTAGGAGCATGGTGCAGAGATTCCACCTGAGTGTTTTGTGATTCTTCAACATAGAACAATGCCACAGGTATGAACAGCATGTTGTAATGCATTTTAGAAAGTGACACACTCTCTCTCTGGTGTGATATCTTTTATTGGACCAACTTCTGTTGGTGGAGGGGACAAGCTTTTGAGTGTCACCGAGCTCTTCCTCGGGTCTGGAGAAGGTGACAAGGGTGATTACCATCTCCAGACCTGAGGAAGAACTCCATGAAACTCAAAAACTTGTGCCTTCCACCAGAAGTTGGTCCAATGAAAGATATTACCTCGCCCACCTGGTCTCTCTCTCCAGCCATCTTTGTCTAACACACCAGTCTCTATGGTACCTGAATCTTCAGTAAATGGACTGATTTGCAGATGTGTTGAGTGCTCAGATCACCCACCAAAGCGAATGGGAGCTTCTGGATGCTCAACACCTCTGAAAAAAAGTCAGGTGCTTAAATGTGGATTTAGCTGCCTAACTTTGGGCATCCCGGTTGGCCTGGGCTGGCCTCGCCTCTGCTTTCTGTGGGGGATGCTTTCTCATTTTGGAAGCTGTTGCCGTGCATGGGAATGCATCCCCCTGCTCTGTACCTCTCAGCAAGTGGGTGGCACTCCTGGTGCACAGGATGGTGATGAATTGGATCTCGTCAGTGCCCCGTATCTTCTCCCCAGCAGCGTAAAGAGCCTGTGATTGAAACACATCAGTTACAGCTCCCAGTGACATTGGAGGCATGGATCTCACAGAGGAGAGGCTCATGCGGCTTGGTGCAAAGCAGCATTTCCGCTCCCGCTGGATGTGTGCTGGGGTACTGCTTGTGCTGCTTGGACAACCGATTCTACAGTGCCACTTGCTGCCAGGCGAGCTAGACCTTTCACACCACAACCTCTGCCTTTGTTTAAACTGGGACAGTAACGAATTGTTACAGCAGGGTGAGTAATTCCATTCCCTACCAGGTCACACCATAAGAATCAGTGTTATGGTAAAGGACCGGTCACTTTATAGAAATACCTGTGCGTCCTGAAGCACCATCGCTGAATCCACATAGCATCTTGGATCATCCCTCTCACCCTAGGAGGGTACAATGGAAACACGGTTATTTGTTTTCCTACAGTGCTGCCCACATGAGGATCTCAAAGCACTTTACAGACGGATTAATTCATCCTCCCAGCCCTTCATCCCTGCAAGGTAGGAAGCCATATTGTTACATACAATACAAGAGAAAAATCCTGGTTGATGAGACCACTCATATGATGAGGAGCCAATCTGTTGCTATTGGTTAACTCAGGTCAATAATTCTGACGCGTGGAGATGCTCTCTGAAGATTGTGGGGCAGGATATGGAAAGGGGGCACAATGCAATTGGGGTACATCACTTCTGAAACTAGCTGGAGAGCAATGCCCTGGTTGCTGTATAGGAATGGATGGTGTATAGGATGGTGCCCCCAGTGGCTGAGTTGACAGAAGCAGCTTTGGAGGCTAACTACTAGCGCCTAAAGGAACTCTCGACTCTGCGTCAGCTTTTAAAGCAGAGATCTAGATCAGGGGGTCTCTCTGTGTGGGTGATTTATCTAGTAACTCTGATGGCTACCTGCAGCAGGTGGGCTTGCAATAAAAGGCCTGTACTCACTGCTAACCCCAATTGGAAGAAGGGAAGATGAAGAGCCCTGGCTCCCCATTCTTTCATCACAACCTTACCTGAAGGAGGCAAACCAATATCCGCTCAAAGTAGCCACTTGTGTCCGATTTGATGTCCTCTTCCAGGTTAGTACCATATTCTGCAAGGGAAAGAGGACCAAGAAGAGGTGGGGGTGATGTGTGCTCACTGAAAGGCACTGTGAATGACTGAGGTGTCACCATGCCTTCCAGAGGCAAATGAATGCTTGGCAGGCCCCAAGAAGGTAACCTGAGGGAAACACATGGCTGTGAGCAGCTCACTTAGTCCCGACTCAGGAAGGTGCGTCAGCAGGGTGTCTAATTTTAAGTACATCAGTAGTTCCATGAAGTCAAGGGGCCAAGCGCATGCTCAAAAGCCAAGCATGTATTTAATTAAGTACCTTATGGAATCCGGGCCTTATTTTCTGAAACCCTCTCTCAAGGCCAAATGCTGCCCTGGAGCCTTGAGGGACTGAAGGATGGGCATATACATAAATATGACAGATTCCCAACTGGGGCATGTCCCAATAAAGCGAAAACCGGTGAACAAATAATGCTCCATAGACAGGAAGATTCCATTACACCAACATTGGTTTGCTTGCTATCCACATGAACTAAACCCATGACACCTTTGAGATTTGCCTGTTACTAGATGGGACATTTAAAGATGGGATTTTTTCAGAAGCAGCCAGCGTTGGCCCAACTCCCATTGACTCCATTAGGAAGTCAACACTCAGCTCTTTTAAAGATCCCGCCTTATTACGCAAAATGTTAGCAGTTAATTCAATTTGCACAAAACCCCCTTGCAGTGCTTCCATCACACACAGTGTAGCAAAAGCTGCTTTACCTTCTTTGTAAGCTTTGATTATTTCTTTAATTTGCACTTTTGTCCGTGATGCCAGGATCTCTATAATGACACCTTCACTTGTTCCTAGACCCTTTAAGAGGAAAAGAATAAAAAGACTGGGAGAAAATATTTTGCCATGCAATTAAAGCTATCTTTAGAAAAGTGGGCCTCAAGTTAAAGTGTCTGAGGGTTGTCATAGGCTCTGTGCCGAGCTGTGATAAATTGTCACTGTGAAACCAGGAACCACATGCAACTTGTTCAGTTTCAGTACAGATTTGTTTGCTAAGGCTCACCCCTCCTCTGAGTAATCCTAGAGCTGAGGTTGATTTTATGGGGCTCTGCCCAGGTACAATGCATTCATGAAGGCTTTCGATGACAAGTGGCATAAGAAGGGTGTGAGGAGAGTGATGCAATCAAATCTATCCACCTACATACAATTTTCATAAACTGCTCTTCACTGCTAATTTTGCAAATTGTTAGAAGTAGAGAAATAAAGTCCCACATCACAACCTTGGGATGCAAACATCCCATACCAACCTCTTCTGACCTGGAAGAAGACATTATCCTATCCTGCCCCTCCAGTCATCATCACTGGCTGATTTCTTATGGGCTTCATGTCAGAGGTTAGGGATTTGAAAGAGGAGAGGGGAGTAGTCTTATGCATTGGTCCAAGGAGGGCATCCCATGCACAAAGGACAGGTTGGGAGGAGGTGCAGGGATGTTGGTGTTAGAAACTGATGAATGAGCGGCTGATGATGGCCTCTCTTGCACAGCAGATTTTATGAGTAGGCTGCAGTAGACAACAGGGGACAAGCAGGGAGGGGATGTGTTGTGAGTCCCAAGCAGACTGCGAAGAATTACAAAGGGATCTCGCAAAACTGGGTGACTTGGCAACAAAATGGCAGGTGAAATTCAGTGTGGATAAATGCAAAGTAATGCACATTGGAAAACACAATCTTAACTATACATATACAATGATGGGGTCTAAATTAGCTGTTACCACTCAAGAAAGAGATCTTGGAATCATTGTGGATAGTTCTCTGAAAACATCCACTCAATGTGCAGCAGCAGTCAAAAAAGCAAACAGAATATTGGGAATCATTAAGAAAGGAATAGATAATAAGACAGAAAATACCACATTGCATCTATATAAATCCATGGTATGCCCATATCTTGAATACTGCATGCAGATGTGGTCACCTCATCTCAAAAAGAGATATATTGGAATTGGAAAAGGTTCAGAAAAGGGCAACAGAAATTATTAGGGGTATGGAACGGCTTCCATATGAGGAGAGATTAATAAGACTGGGACTTTTCAGCTTAGAAAAGAGACTACTAAGGGGGGAATATGATAATCATGACTGGTATGGAGAAAGTAAATAAGGAAGTGTTATTTACTCCTTCTCAAAACACAAGAACTAGTGGTCACCAAATGAAATTAATAGGCAGCAGGATTAAAACAAACAAAATAAAGTATTTTTTCACACAACACACAGTCAGCGGATGTTGTGAAGGCCAAGACTATAACAGGGTTCAAAAAAGAACTGTATAAGTTCATAGAGGATAGGTCCATCAATGGCTACCAACCAGGACGGACAGGGATGGTGTCCCTCACCTCTGTTTGCCAGAAGCTGGGAATGGGTGACAGGGGATGGATCACTTGATGATTGCCTGCTCTGTTCATTCCCTCTGGGGCACCTGGCATTGGCCAGTGTTGGAAGACAGGATACTGGGCTAGATAGAACTTTGTGTGACCCAGTATATCCATTCTTATGTGATGGGCCTGGAAGGGGATGACAAGGACTTTGAACTTGAGCCATTGGAGGGATTCAAAGAATGTGGTGATGTGGTCATTGATGGTGAGGATGATGATGTTAGCAGCTGTGTTTTGTGGGGACCTGACATTGTTGGGAAGGTCCGAGAGAGAAGGAGGTTTTGGTTGTCAAGACAGCAGAGGAGGGCGTAGATGAGAGCCGTGGCTGTCTGGACAGAAAGAAGAGGATCTTTGGAATTGTATAGAGCAAGAAGTGGCAATAAACCAGAGATCTGTAATTTTCAGCAATCATTCTTCACCAGAAATAGGGAGTTTTACACAGTTCTGCTGTTGGCCTCAAGTCAAAGGCATAAATAATATTTTACAGGGTGCCCTTTCCACCAAAGACGTACTGTAATAGCGTATCCAACCAAATATTTGCTATAAACATTGGCCTCTGAGAAACGATACTGTGGAAAGGGTTCATCCAGTTCAGTTACTAAGCACTTGTATTAGCACAGGAAATTAGCACAGTGTTCCTGCTACAACTTAATAATCAGCATGTCATTGATTTACCTTCAGGGCATCATGTAATTCCTTGGCATCGTATTTGAATGGTGGGTACATAAGGGCTACGATGAGCCTCTCAAACTTGCCACTCAGTTCAGACTTCAAGCTGGCAATAAGATCCTGTTAAACACGAAAGTTCTAATTAAGGGAAGAGTGCATCCAATACTCACTGCGTTGCACGTCACTTTCCCTGAATCTCCATTTGTAACCCTCATGAGCTACAGCAATAAAGCTGATGCACAGTGTCATGCTGATTGGTTTATTATAAAAGCACCTATGGGCTGATCAGGAGGCCACCCTTATGAGTGGATTCTGTCTAGGTATTTCTGTAGTGCCCCCGCCAATAGCTGCAATATCTGGGCACTTCACAAACATTCTAGAATTCATCCCCAAAACCCTTCCACAAACCCAAACCCTTCAAATTTCCCATAGGGAAGCTTGTGGCTTTCCAACCGGCTCTGCTCTTCATGCACACATGCTCTGGCCAGCCCAGGCCTGGAAATAAATCAGGGGACTGGTGTTGGACAAGAAATCTGGATGCTGCAGAACATCATGGCCATTAATTATACTGCATATCTGCAGTAGATAGAACCTTTGGTCCCAAGAACACAGGCCTCCATTAAGAAGGTAGACTTGCACTGATGTAGTAGTGTCAGTGCCCATCACCTCTGTACCCGTACCCTTCCATAAAATACCTAGAGAGAGACAAGGTGAGTGAGGGAATATTTTATTGGACCAGCTTCTGTTGGTGAGAGAGAAGAGGTCTGTGTAAGCTTGGAAGCTAGTCCCTGTTGCCAACAGAAGTTGGTACAATAAAAGATATTACCACTCCCACCTTGTCTCTCTAATATCCTGGGACGAACATGGCTACAACACCAGTGCCGATAGACCAATGGGTGACACAAACACGCAACATCTGACATTCCATCCAGCAGAGGGCAGTGCTCCCATGGTCTCTGACACCTCCCTTTCCAGGAAAAGCATCATGCAGTGCAAAGAGAAAGTTTATCAGATGTCCTTTCTCTGGATAACCTTTCCAAACTGTTCCTTGAATGATCTGGCAATCTGTTGACGCTGTGCATTACTCCTTTTGGTGAGGACGTCGATTATAGCCTGTTCGTCTGTCCCTGGAAACGAACAATGATAGGATGTAAACACACTGTGCAGGAGAATAAGGCAAGACATATCTAAAACTCCCAAGGGTATTACCCATCCGACCTTCCCAAACTCACTGCCCTGACAATGAGGGAATTTAGGCACATTTTGGAGCAGCTTGGATTCTGAATCCCCGCGTGATGGCATAAACAGCTGTAGTTTTCTGTAGGGAATTGTGCTAATGCTATAACTGAAGTGTAGAATGTTTTAAATACATGGCTGGTAATAGATAGAGTCAACTCACCCAGTCCTTTCATGGCTTTATACAAAACTTGGGCATCAGGTGTGGGGTCAAAGCTCAGGGTGCCTCTCACTGAACTGCCATCTTCATCACGCTGTAAGAAAAGGCAACTATGTATCCCATGTGAAATTAGTTTGATAGGGCTCAGTCCAGGTCCCCCTGGACCTAGAGCACAAATTACACTATTGCAATAGGTGCTCATTAACTCCTTAATGGCAGTCCCAGCAGAAAGACCTGACTATTGAAACTGGACTTTCCTGTTGCCTGGAAAGGTGGTATCTTGTAATGTTCACAGCATATACGCGCACAAGTTAGATAAACACACAAAATACTCTTGCTGGAAAGGCTGCAATGTAACACAACTTTATTTCTTAGAATCCAGAACGATAACACACAAGAACCCCAAACAGAAAGAAATAAAGCAGGCTGCTCCCTAAAACAGCGGCACAACTCACCCCACCTTCTTCTAGGTTGCCTTTCTGCAGACTGGCTCTGCAAGCCCCAGATCACAAGCTTCCCTACCGAGCCCCTAGCCTGCAAGCAGGACCTGGAAACCCTTCAATCTTAAAGTGATAGCTTGCCATTTTAAACACAGTTTTCCAGGCACCACGTAAATCATGAGCAGGGTTGATTATTTGTGTGTGATACTATACCTCTGCTATAACCAGAGTGTTATCATGCAAGATAGTTTTATACATAACTTCATCTGTTCCATGGCATATCCCTGTTGAAAACATGGGCTTTTCTGTGCCACAGTTTTACTCGGCTGGCTCCTGACTGAGGTGGAGTTGGGCGTGACTGGCTTCACAGGGTATGGCATCCCAAAGGAGCGCTACAGGCCACACAAGAGGAACCAGTGTATTTTGCAAGGGTGGATGAAACTGGAGAAGTTCAGGTTTAGCAAATTTGAGCCAGAATCTCTTTCCTTCATGCACAGCCTGGGGTCCTGGCTTAGAGGGGGTCTCTGGGCAAGCCGCAGGGAAATGGCCAGCCCTCTCCTCCCTGTACTGTTTATTAAGTGGTAGCATTTTAACACATCCCAACCTTGTGATGCAAACATCCCAAACCCAGCCTTGCAGCGTAGGGTTCACCTAATGGAGCTAGTTGGGGACAGGTTTCGATTTACCCACCAACTCCAGATAATTTGGGGCCTTAGGCCTTGTCTACATGGGAAAGATTTTTGATGTAAACTAAAAGTGTGAACTTACACCAATACAGTTGTTCTGGTATTACCCCCTGGTGGACAGCCTTATTCCAGTATAAGAAGGCCTTTTCAGGTTAGTTTATGTTGCTTGGGAAAGGGTTGAAGCTAAACCTGAAAGAGGCATTCATGCCAGACTAGGAGTCCATATGGGATAGCCATTTCAATATAACTGGTGAAACTTGCCCACATAGACGACCCCAAAGTCTCCAATCAGCTGGACTCAGGTCTAGGAGACTGCTTTTGTGAAAGCAACATGTCATATCTTGCTAGACTTTCAGACCATCTGCCTCCAAGCCTATCCCGAACCTTACAAGGGAAGTCAGCGGTCTTCTTTGACTAGTCAGATGCATTTATTTACATTCTTTTTCTCCATGAGAGGCAATTGCCAACCTTGGACTCAGTTTTCCAATACAGAGCTAATGGAACCAATAGTCACCCCTACTCAGCTTTTGTTAGCGCTATCTGCCGGGTAGGAGACTGGGAACCATGCCCATAGTAACGCTAGGGCGGAGCTGCATGCTGGTGACCTTGCAAACTCTCACGGGAAACCAGGCATGCGAGTCCTGGAGGAATCTTTCTCAAGCTCTTCTACCTGGCAAGGCTCACTTGGAGATGGCCGTGGGCTGGAAGGATGTGGGCAGCAGAGGGATTGTGTGTGGGAAGAACTTGGACTGCTCGGTAAATCTCTAGGAAAAGAGGTGTGGAGGCCGAGGCTGCACCAGTGGTAATAGCAGAAGGGATTCATACTTAAGCAGGAACCACAGGGTGAAATACTATGGCCCATGTCACGCAGGAGGAGGTCGGACTCACTAGATGATCATAATGGTCCCTTCTGGCCTTATTCTCTATGAAATGAAGGTTCCTGCCCGCTGACTACATTTGCCTGAAAGCAGCTGTTGGGGTGGCCTAGCTCTATGCAGAAGAAACGAAGGAAAACATCTGTGTGGATGGAAAGTTGTCTGTGTACATCCATGCTACTATATCTAGCTCCCTTTGAGACACAGCCTAGGACTGGAAGCAGTCGGAATAGTGAGAGTTACTTGCATAGTTTTCCTTATATGTGAAGCTTGGTTCCTTCTATATTAGGGGCCAAGGGGGTTCCTCTGTCTAGATTTAGTTAACTGGGGTTAGGTTTACTTAGCCCACAGTTTGAATTTTTTTGCTGTTTCTCTGTCTTTATTTATCCTCGTCCTCATACCTACATCAACGCCCCCATGGGCACCCAAAGTTAGCTGCCCCGCTAAACATCTTCCTCCCTGTTGTTGATTGCATTGTCTCCCCAGTCCTCCCACTCACACTTCTCCACTGCATGAAATTCAAATTCATTGTCCTCCTTTTCACAGCCCTCCGGAGCCATGCGAAGGGCCAGATCCTCAAGTGAGGTGCTGCCACTGTGTGCTATACTTCTGGTGGAAGATGGCAGTCCAGCTGGCATTCCTGACCCTGGAAGGATCACCGCACCATTGCTTATCATCAACATCAAGACTCCCATGCCCCTGGCTCCTTGCTACTAGCAGAGGGGGTGTGGACAAAGAAAGGAGGCAAGATTGGGATGCCCCACTATTGGCTGCAGCTTCAGTCCCTGCGGGCTGTTAGCAGCCTGGGTGTGAGTTAGAGCAGCCTGTGGAGTGATCCAGGTTGGTGCACCGTGACTCCGAGATTGCGGGAGTGCAAAGGAGAGTTTTAATTTATAGGGGTTTGGTGGCAAGGCAGACAAATTTAAATGATCCTTTTTTTAAAAAATCCCAATCAGGGATTTGAGTCAGTTCTGGCTAGAAGGAATCAGGCATGACTCACAACCACCCAGGTCCTCTATTTGTGTTCTCTGGCTGTCATAGCCTCGGGAGGGAGAAAGGTGTGGCCACATCAGGTTAGGACAAGAATCTGTCTGAGACTCATTTGGCTTTCTGTTTCCAGGTGACTCCACATAGCTAGCTGACTGAAATGAGTCAATGCATGTGTCACTGCCATAATGAGCAAGACCATTAGACAGGCAAGCAGAGGAATCTACTCCACCTGACATGCTCCTAATTTAGGCTTTTTTACTTGTGACCATCTCTAGTTACAATTTTCCAAATTGAAAAGTGGTGTTTTGTCCAAAAACCTAAGTTTTCCATGGGAAAATGTGGGTTTTGCCTGGATTTTTTTTTAATGGAAAGTTTCTAAAAACAAAAACAAAAAAAAAAAACATTTTGTATTTTGAATTGAAATTTTCAACTCTGTTTTTCAAAAACTAAAAGAAAATTCAAACTTTGCTCCCCTCCCCCACTTTTTTATTGATTAGAAAGAACAATCTCCAGGGCTCTGGAGTGGTCATGGTTCCATGCTTTGCATCCTCTTTCCACTCTCATTTTTCAAAGTGCCTCCAACTTTGGAAGAGTGACAGAGCGGCAAAATTAAAAATAAAAAAAAAACAAAAACAAAGGGAAAAAAAAGGAAAAAGTCATGCCCCCCCTCCACCCATTATTCATCTTCTTGGACCCGGTGGTGAAAGGGGGGAGAGGAATGCTGGCGTTTCAAAAGTTTCATGGAGAAAAATGAGGGGGGCAAAATGAGAAAACATTAAAAAAAAACCACAGAAAATTGTTGCATTTGAACCCCGCGAAATGGAAACAAATTTGAAATTTTTCCATGAAATGATTTGTCCATTTTCCAACCAACTCTACCAGTAACAATCACAGTCAAAAACCAGAGCAAATGTTTTGTCCACTTGAAGTAGAATCCTGGCCCTCACTGTTCTCCATATTTTATACTGGATAGAGTAAAAGCACCAGGAGATACATGATCTGAGGTGTACACTGATCTGTATCACATGAGAACCATAGAGCCCAACTACTGGGCAATACAGAGAGGAGGAGGCCTTGGGACAAAACAGTTAATGGAAGACAGCTAAACAAATCCCATAAGGATAATGACTGTTTGGCGCTGGTGTTTGGAACACGGCTGGCCATTGCTGGGTGGAGAACTGGACCACCATTCTGTGGAGGATTTTGAGATTTCAGAATCTGGTTTCATTCCAGTTTGGAACAAAAGCCAAAGCTCTGAAGTTCTCTGCAGAAGGGAATTATTCTCTGCCCAGCTCTGGGGCAGTTTGCCTGATGGGCTGCCCTAGAGCCAGAGACCCTGGAAGCTGCAAGAACCTAGGCTGTCTAAGAGCCATGTGCCTTAGAGTTTCGGAGCTGGATCTCCCTGGCTCCCCATTAGCCTGCCAGGTGGGCTCTGGAGGAGCTGGATGGCTCAGCTGGCAGGAAGCCAGATAGGCTTCCAATGGAACAAATGAAAATGTGTCATCAAAATGTTTCTGACCCACTCTACTGCGTACAGGGCTCCTGGTAACTCTGGTGGCTGGTAGGTGACTGTTCAGGAAGTAAACTCTTTCCCAGTTACCAGCACACCATCATCATGTAGGTCTCTTCTTTATCTCCAGCTCTTGGTAAATCAATACAAAGTCACAGAGTGGAATCCTGAACCTACTGAAGGTAACAGGAATTTTGCCATTAATTTCAGTGGGGCCTAGATTACACACACTATCAGTTGCTGCCCTCCGTACTTTGACTTTAGGTACAGAATGGGTCTGCCTCAGTGAAAGTCATTCAGCCATTGGACCAGATTTGAAACGTACATTTTCAAAGTAATGTGAACTTTAAAGGAACATTGTGGTCTTGGCTCCCCATTGAGTCTAGCTCCCTGAACTGATATTCAAAACCCTCCATGGCAATGGCATAGCTACTTGAGACCACATCTCCTTCCAGGACCAGGGCCTACCACCGCAGCTGGAGCAATCAGCCTGGTAGCCAATCGAGAGGTTGATGACAATGGGAGGTTGAATGTTTGCAGGAGCTGGACCTAGACTATGTAACTCATTCCCACAAGGGAGAAGACAGACCAAATTGTTCACAGCTCTCAGAACTAAATGCAGAATTTACTTCCTCAGCTTAGCTGTCCTTCAGTAAATTCTCCACCCACCTAACCCCTCTCATAAGGAAACAGCCAATAAAAGTGCTAGCCTGTTGCTTAAAAACCATCAAACATATTTAACAGATTCCTCAATCAAACACATGCACACAGAGTGATCATGCAGCAGGTGTGGTCAGTTTGTAAGTGGAAGGATTTTACTCTGTCTCTACACATAGAATTTATATATTGTCTAAGGCATGACAATATGCCTCTAAAATCATGTACAGAGAGTTTCACACTCCAGTATTTTCTCTACTTACCCAGCCCTTCCACCACGCCATGGTACACTTGGAAGCAATTCTTTTTCCTGTAAATAAAGGAAGTTACATGTTAGATCTTTTGAAAGTTAAAGTTCTTGAGCACATGTGAACTGGAAAGACAAAAAAGTTTCCTGCAAACTCACCAATAGAAAATAAGAAAAAATAATTATTCTGCTCTCTGGAGGTCTATTCACACTGACCGCTGCAGGGTCTAACTGGCACCTCTGCACCAAAAATGTACACATGTGCGCCTTCCTTTTCTATAAACCCCACAAGGCAACACCCTAAAGACATGGTTCAACCGGTTTTTGTACATATGATCTCACTGGCAGAGATGCGGTTGCTTAGTAACAGGACTTCCCTGGTTAAGAGCCTCACATTCAAACTTGGTTGACTAAAGTTTGAATTTCCCTTTCTGATTTTTACAACGTGCCTGCCTTAGCCCCAGGGGCTTGTGCAACATGGAAATTACAGCCAGATAATGTCAAGCTACCAGTGTGGCCCAGAGGACCCTACAACACTCAGATCAATTGCTCTCTAATTATGGAAGGACTCTCTCTACCTGTACCCTAACAAAACAAGACACTAATTCCCTCAGCTAATCCCCACCCAGTGCCCCATCCCTCCCAGCAAAGCCTAGGAGAAAAAAAGGAGCCCTACAGCTTGCACCAAAGCTCACTATGTTGAGGCTGTGAAGACTCAGGAGGGAAGGGTGTTCCAGAGCCCCGTGTGGAGAAGGCACTGTGAGACGCACCCTCTCTGTCATAGCAAGGTCTGGGAAATCAAGGGCCTCTGACAATCACAGCAGCACCAGAATGATGTGAGGTGGGAAGTGGTCTGTTAGCCAGGCCCAAAGCAACTAGATGTAGCCCAGTGGAGATTCCATTTCTATCACCTACTCTCAGGGTGATGGACCCATGAGCCCTCTCTCCCCCACACTAAAGCTGGCCAAACAGGGCCGCTTTGGGGCTTTTCCGAATCCTTCGGTGGGATACACAGACCTGGTTATGTGTGCCTTCCTGGGGGGAGGGGGAGGGAATCAGCCCATCCTGAGCAAGATGGATACAAGTGTAATGGGCCCACGGCTCTCAAAATGCCAGGCAGCCCAATGAAAATCAGGGACTGGACTACTATGAACTGTAAGGCCCCTCTAGTGAGGGACTGGCTGCTCCTCCCAGCCCTCCCACTCGCACAGCCTAGGCCAACTTGACTTAGGCAGACCAGCCCAACCTGGAGAGACCGATCTTCGCTTTAGACCCTGTTCCCCTTCAGAGACTGTGCCCAGGCACCATGTGCTCAAGTCACCCTGGGGGAATTGCAGTTATTGCAAGGCTTTGGAAAACAGATTGTAAGGGAGTGGTTCCTCCCACGCCCCAGAGCAGTGCCCAGCTTTCCGGGGTCAATAACTGTCTCAGTAACATTCCTTTCTGGAGAGCAACATCCACGCCCTGAGTTAGCGAATAATGCTGCCAGCTGCAGCTCCACCCCTCACATTGTTTCCCCATGATGATCACAGGATCACGCAGAAGTTTCCAGAGTCTGGCCTATTGTGCAAGCCGTCCCAGATTGTCGGGGGTCTCTGGAGTTCTGGGCCATCCCTGGGGTTAGCTCTGTGCTCAGGTTTTCTCAGTTCTGCTGTCAGGACTACCAAAGGTTTGGGGTTGTGGTGTTTAAACTCTGTGCTGTTTTCCCCACTGGCAGCTTTGGGGAATTCAAGAATGACTGACAAGAGTTTGCTCAAACTTCAACAGATTTAAAATATATTTTTAAAAGGCGGGGCCTCAGGAGAGGAAGGTGCTAAGGCTGCTTTAAGAGACCTTTGCCCTCTCAAATTTAGGGCTGCTCTGTTTGACCTGGTGCAGCCTGCTACAATCTGAAGGATACCAAGGCCAGTGAAGAATCACTAGGGTGTAGGGACAGCACAGTTATGCCCCCTTCCACCAGCCACATCCCCTATACCAGCAGGTAGCCCTAAATGCCCATTTAGCCATCTGGCTGCATGGGAAGATGTGACCCCACATGTCATTCATTTAAAAAAAACACACCACATTTTTAAACAAAATTTCCTTACCTCTGATATTAAGAGCACCTGAGATCATCGGGTGGAGTAGCTGTCCTTGTTATGTAAGGATGTGGGTGTGTCTGCACAAAATAATGGGGGATTTAGCCTGCAGAAAGCAGAACGGACAGTGCTGGTTGTAGCTTGCAGAAGGCTGTCATTGCTGCTATGTTTTAAAATTTTCAGTTGTAATGATTTTTTTAAACTCAGATTACGGTACCTCCATTCCACCATCCATGCTGTTCACTTCCCTGCTGTCTTTTGTGCATTTTTCACAGTGAAGATTTTCATGGCCTATCTCTAGTTACTCACTTTCCTGCTCTCCTGGGCTACTGCAACTGGCTAGTCAGACACTGCTGTGTTAGGGCAGCAAACAGGATAGAAGAAAGTTCAGAAAGCACGGAAACAAAAGGCTTAGTAAAAACCTGACACCCAATTCCACTCTCACATTGGTGAGAATTAGGAGCGAGTCAACGGCTAGCCATGAATGTAAACTGATGTAAGTGGGAAGCGAATTAGCCCCCATGTTTCTACAAAACCCAAATGTAATCTAGCAGCATCGCTTTAACATTTGCACTGATCCATCTGAAGAGAGAACCTTTAAAAAAAGATGCTGGAAATGAAACAATAGCGTATTAATACATTGTAAATGATCATGGGGACGCAAGTTACTGTTACATGTAGTAATGAGCCAGGAGATTTATTACACTATCAGTAACAGTCTATAATAAAGAAGATGAGAGGAGAAACCAAGACTATGTGGTCACTGAGGATCCCTTTGGTAAAAATAGGGGCTAACTCCAGCATTATAGTGCTAGCCACTACCAAAGGTACAGAAGTTGGAGTACTTACGTTCAATAGCCTAGGATAATGGTGAACTCAACGACAAACTTATAACAGGAAAGGCGCTAGGTGCTGTACAAACACAGAACAAAAAGATAGTCTCTGCCCCAGAGAGCTGACAATCTAATAAGATGCTATATAAATTCATGTCTTCAGCAGAAGAAACAGGCCTTTTTAAATATTACAGACAGATTCTTTAATCAGTTGTTTTAGCAGCTACTTCTTCATGTTCCCTGACTCTGAGGACCTGATCCAATGCCCCTGGAAGTCAAGAGAGGCACCGACTTCAAAGGGTGTTGGACCAGACCCTAAGCTCTGGGGGCCAGATTCTCATTACTTGCATTGCTAGAAAACCAGATCGACTTCATCAAAGTCAGTGCAGTTATGCCCCATTTACATGGAGATCAGAATCCAGCCTCCAGTTTTATACATTTAGATGTTCTGCTGATCATGGCAATAGCATTTCCCTGATAAATGATTCTCAAAAGCCTTTGGCAATGGGAGGCAGGAATAAATAGACACTGCTTTCTCTCTGATGCTGAATCTGCAACCCTCACTTCAGTCAGATTGACCTTTGTCCCATTGACACTTTGCAAGCAGGGCCGGCTCCAGGCACCAGCAAACCAAGCATGTGCTTGGGGTGGCACATTTTCAGGGGCGGCATTCCAGCCAGACTCTTTTTTTTGGGGGGGGGGGGGGCGGCAAAAGCCTAGAGCCGGCCCTGGCAGCAGCAGCATGTCCTGCACAGGGGGCACCCTGGGGCCGCTGCAGTTCGCGTCGGGGAGCAGTGCCCACACCTTATGGCCGAGCGGGCTCCAAGCGGGGGACACTTGGGCTGGGGGCCGCCCCGCAGGGCGCACGGAGCTGCCTGTAAGTGCCGCAGGGCGGCCGCCCCCCAGCGCCGCAGCCGGGGCTGGGCGAAGCGGTTCGAGCCGCCCAGGGACTGCGGCAGGGCGGCCAGGAGCAGCAGTAGCAGCAGAGGGACCATAGTGGGGACCGGTGCCTGGGGCGCTGCCGTGCGGGGCCCGCGTCCCGCTCTCCGGGGCTCCGCTCCCTCTGGGGCTACCCTGCCCCGGCTTCTCAGCCCTCTGCCAGGCAGTCCCCCAGCTCTGCCCTCCCGGGTCCCAGCCGGTCCTGGAGGTGGGAGCCCTGGCTGGAGGGACCCTGGGCTGAGGCGCGGTCCGAGAGCCCCGCTGCTTACCCCGACCCAGCCAGCGCCGGAGTGGCTGGAGGCGAGTCAGCGGAGTCAGCACTGGTGGGGGGAAGCCCAGGGCTGGGGCAGCAGGGAGTGCGGGTGGGGTGGGGGGAGAGCCCAGGGTTGGGGTGGCAGGGGGTGTGGGTGGAGTGGGGGGGAGAGCCCAGCACTGGGGAGGCAAGGGGTGCGGGGGGAGCCCAGGGCTGGGGTGGGGGCAGCCAAAAAATATTTTGCTTGGGGCGGCAAAAAACCTAGAGCCGGCCCTGTTTGCAAGAGTACTCATTGACATGAACAAGGCTTGGAGAACTGGGCCCTGCAATGGTAATGGCTTATTTTCTACCTAGTAGGTCCAGCACAGCAGTACCGTGAGCTCAACCTGCAGTTCAAAGGTTTGGGTAGTTCTCCACAGTAGATCTCTTGATAATATGGAAGCTTACTTGTAGAACAAACAAATCCAGACAGTCCTGTTCAAGGCAACTCTTGAGTACTGGTTTTCATCTGGACAAATGCAAAGCTACTTGAAATACAGGGTTTTTCACATTTTATAGTGAACTTGCAAAAAAAAAAAAAAGGCAAAAATAAAACCCCAAAAAACAAAAAGGGGGAGTTGATGGGGGAGGGGAGGGTTGCCATGGTGCACAAATAATTTGTGCACTAGTCAGAAGGGAAAATAGGCCAAAAAAATGCTATTAATAAAGTGAAATTTTTTTAAAGTCTTCTGCAAGAGCAAAGAGTGGCTTTGCTGCTTAAAAAAAAATAATCCAGTTTACCATAAATTGTGCATCCTTATATAGCCCTATCACCATAATAGCTGAACACCTTGCAAACATTAATCCTCACAACGTCCGAGGGCAAGCTAAGAATCAGAGCCAGATCTCCTGGGTTCCAGCCCACTGCCTTAGCTACAAGATTGTCTCAGTTTGAAAGGGTTGCAAAAATTGCACCAATTGCAAAAGTAAGTAATGGGAAATGAAAAAACAACAACAAAAATTGTGAATTTCTCTCTGCTCTAATTTTATCACAAGTATTGTACACAATGTCCAAATGTTTCAAACTTGGAAGCCTAAAATTAAGCTAAACCACATTTAGGCATCCAAATAAAAGTGGCCTGAGATTCAGGGCTTATCTATATGGGGAAAGCTGACCAGCAGAACTATACTGGGATAGTATCAGAGGGGTAGCCGTGTTAGTCTGGATCTGTAAAAAGCGACAGAATCCTGTGGCACCTTATAGACTAACAGAAGTATTGGAGCATAAGCTTTCGTGGGTGAATACCCACTTCGTCAGATGCTGGGATAGTTTGATTGCTGAAGTTATACTGGTATAGCTCCCTATGATGTGGACACTCTTATTCTGGAATGAATGTCCACCTGGGGAGTTATATGGTATAACTCTAGTGGTATAATTATCCCAGTGTAGTTCTGCTGTTGAATTTCCCCATGTAGACCAACAGAAATACCGAGCACCTCCCACTTCATTAGCTTAGCCAGGAGCTGAACAGCTCTGAAAAAAATCAGACCACTTTGATTGAGGTGTCTTGTATGCCCACGTGTGGGCACCCACATTTGAAAATGTTGTCCAATGATAAGGAGATGGTAGCTTTCATTTTCATTGCCGAGTCACTGCAGTGACTGTAGGAGAGCAGCGTACTCTTGGTATTTGCATCTGTAAAGTCTGCTATTACTGATACATTCTGCTTGTTCAGACTTTTGAGAACCACAGTGTTGTACTTCAGCGACTAATGCGATTCCTGTGGGAGTGAAGGAAGGAGCATATTACACACACACACACACACACACACACACACACACACACACACACACA